CCAGTGGTCTCCAACCGTCTTAGGCTAGAGATCACATTTGGAATTTAAAAGGAACTTAAGATGTACCCCCCCCACCAGCTGATAAGTCTGTGGGGAGGGGAAGGGAAAGGGCCATGGGGGGCGGGGGGGCAGATTGAGGTCCCAGCCCTAGTCCCCACTCCCACACTGATGGGGCCTCGATCTGCCCCTCCCCCCAGCAGCGGTGAGGGAGGGAGCACAGCTGATGTGGGAAGGGGACGGAGCTGCGAGTGCCTCATCTGGGGACATGAGGAGGGCGGAGATGCAGCCCTGGAGGGCATGGGGGTATGTGCCCCCAGATCTGCCCGTGGGGTGGAGTGGGATGGGCTGTGTGCTGTTCCTGCCGGGCTGTGCTCAGGCAGGTTGGTGGTGGTGCTGTGAGCAAGGCCATGGAGGGGAGCTGTAGCCCCTCCAACCCCCGCTCCCAGAGCCACAGCTGCCCACTGTAAGTGCAGCACGGGGCAGGCCCGGTGGGAACAGCCTGGCACAACCTTTTCCTTCTTCCCTGCCCCCTCCTCCCCAGGACATGAGGGTCAGGGGGAGGGTGGGCTGCAGCTGTGGGCTGCGAGGCTGCACCAGACTGTTCTCGCCGGGTCTGGCCTGCTCTGTGCTTGGGGTGGGTGGCTGCGGCTCTGGAAGCAGGGGTTGAGGGGAGCTCTAGCCCCTCTTTGTGGCCTTGCTCGTAGTGCCACTACTGCTGCCAGGCCCGAGCACAACCTGATTGGGAACAGCCCATCCCGCTCTGCGGGCAGATCCAAGGGCATGTGCCCCCCAGAGAGGCTGCTTGTGGCTCCGTCCCCCATCCCACGTCGGCTGTGCGGGGCCTGCCCCTGTTCCAGTCCTGCTACCTACCTCAGAGCTTCATCGACTGGCACTGCCCCAGGTTTGCTGGGGCAACCCCCACATCTGTGTACGGCTCCCACTGCTGGCTGGGCTTTGTGCCCCGAGCCCCGCTGCATGTGCCTCCTGAGCCTCCGCCTCTTCCCTTCCCCACCAACTGACCTGCTGAGCTGAGGGAGGTGGTTGGTGACCACTGCTTTATACAAATTTGAGTTTTGCGCCATTTTCCAGGAATGTATGTACAGCATAAAGCAAGGGAAACCTGTATGGCGTTTGATTGCATTTGGATGAATAAGCCCATCAGCAATTGTACTTCTTGATATGATTGTTCAATTTGAGCAATTGCTGATACAATTGCTCAATTTGTTTGCCTCAACGTTGTATAAAAAGAGCAAACCTGGGAGTGTGTATGTTTTTAACGAATTATATAAACACGTGTAATCAAAATTCAGACTAAGGTATTTGAAGTATATTATAATCTAGTTTCTCTCATTTTATAACTCTTAAAGCCGTCAGCAGTTGAAACTCATCAGCAAATCTTTGTATTGATTATCAAGTCGTGCAATTTCTGCTTCATTAACACTTTAATAGTGAAGTCTCTTAGATCAAGAAAAGGAAAGTTTTGTTTTGTTTTTTGTATACATCTGGATATAGAATGTTTTAACTTCTGTACATGCAAAGGCTTTTTTGAGTTGCAGACATTTGGGTAATATGTAAATAGTTACTTAGCTGCTTCTAGTCTGAAATAGTTGGATGAGTGTTGGGGAGTAGAGCTAAAGGAGCACCTGCACTGTGGTGCTTTTGTGGGACTCAGATAAACTCAGGGATAGTAGAAATTTTATAAATATTTATGGCATATTTTTAAAGATGTTTGGCTGCCAAGTTTCTAACCGCCTTTGTCTTTTCAGAATTTAGGCTCTAGGGTTATGTAGGTGTTTTTAAACATTAGTCTTAATGTAATTTGAAAGGCCAGGCAATTCTGGATAGGTTTATATCTGCAACTTTGTTATGCTGCTATTATTTTAACAATCTAATTTGCTTATGTATAAAATTTGTCTTAAAACAGTACATCTCAGTGCAACATTATTATTTTTAATAGCTTTTAGTAATACTGAAAGATTCTGAAGCTTGGGGCTAAAAAATGACCTTGCATTTGAGTTGATTCTGACTCATGGGAATCAACCTTAAGGAAATGATCCTTCCGGCACAGAGGGAGACGATCCCGATGTGAGGAAAAAGAGGGAAAGGGGCCAGGAGGCTTCCTTGGCTGACCAGAGAAATCCAGGGCAGCCTGTGGACTAAAAGGGGAGCATATAAAAAGTGGAAACGGGGAGAGATTACCAAAGAGGAGTATACCTCCTCTGCTTGCACTTGTAGGGAGGCAGTTAGCTGGGCCAAAGCTACCATGGAGCTGAGGATGGGATCCCAAGTAAAGGATAACAAAAAATTGTTTTTTAGATATATAGGGAGTAAAAGGAAGGCCCAGGGTGGAATAGGACCCCTACTAAATGGGCAGAAGCAATTGGTGACGGACAGGGGGGACAAGGCTGAACTCA